TTTTTTTTATTTGACAGGAATCCTTCCTCAAAACCGAACGTACAAACTTGAGCAGGAAGGTGTTTTCCCTCAGTGCTCCGATGCATCCTGCAAAGCCCAGGATGAACATGACACCACCGACCACCATGAAGAGCCAGACTGGGTCCAGACCACCCAGGTCAGTGATGGATGAGATGTTGGAGAGAACTCCCTACAGCGGAGAAATTGAGACAGCAGGGGTAAGTCATCGACAAAATGACCTGATCACTGTTAAAAGTGCTTATGTCATCAGGTGTTAATTTAGGTTCTTTGCAAATATGGCCCAATCAAGCAATAATACGTTGAGAGTGAAAAAGCGGCATGTCATTTTTGCAGAGCCTCTAATGCTTATTTTCGATTCATGTTTTGTTTTAAAAATCAAAATTCCACTGTTTAAAGAACTATGATGTTAATTTCAAGCTAAATTGTACCATTCATTTAAACAATAATATTATTTCTCGAGTTGATGAGAAATATTTTACAAAAGGCTACATAAATAGGTGAAACCTATTCATTATCACACCATAAAAATATATATATTTAAAAAAAAAATTTTTTTTTTAATCCAGTGTTTACAAAGTGGCTATGGAACGTTTTCTGTTCAGTGGAACAGAACAGTGATAAACCTCACAAAAAAAATTGCTGCCACCTAGTGGAATAACGTTTTACTGTTTTGCCTGTCACTGTCCCATAGGAAAACAAAGACAAATTATTAGCAGTTAATCAATAGTTTTCTGATAAATTACACTTCTGAGGCACACCTGATGAGCTCTCACAGCACGCTAATGTTCCGCAAAACACTGGTTGGGAATCACCGCGTTCATGGATTTTTATATTGAATCATTCAATTATCAGTTGGCACATTACAGTAGAAAATAATCTTATCAAACGTCTATTTACTACCTTACCTTCTCACTCCATGCCCACAATCCAATCCCGACTAATGCCATGCCCAGAAGCTGAAATATAAAAAGAACAAAAGGTACATCTGTGTCATTTACTTTAACGTAGTAACGCCTAGCACAAATATGGACTCTTTTGTCCCATCTCTGGGTTTGTTGCACAGTATTTTGGTACATTTCTAGACAGGTTGTTGATGCGCGGTGTGGACTCTTTTGACTGGTCTTATTTTACACTTCAATCAACTAAAAAGGCGCCCACTAACTGCAAAGGAATGTGGAAAAATGCGTTTATGAGAAGGAGGGATAAACAAACGCCTGTTAAGGAAATAACTTTTGTATAATGCCACGGTTTATTTAGTTTATTCCAGCAAAATACCTTTGACATAAGGATAAAAAGTACTGTGTATCTCTCTCTGTGTGTGTGTGTGTGTGCGTGTGTGTAAGCCGATTACACTTGTGTCGTCAACTGCTTTTAAACAGCTCTGGACCACAACCAACCAACTGGGCTGAACCCTGTTGTGCAGAGTACAGTAGACTATATAGTATACAGTACGTGCGCGTGGAGTGAAATGAAGTACTTTAGCAATGAGCCGGGCCTTGCTGCCTGTCTATTGGCCAGCCGACATGACGGTTGGGATGTGGACAGATGGGGAATATAAAGGGAAAATGAAAGTAGCACAGTTCTCACCCAGAATAGGATGTTGAATCCAAAGATGAAGTATTTGATGCAGCAGCTGACCTCGTGTCCCCTGAAGTGATTGCCCGACATGTTTAAGCATCATCAGTACCGCACTGTCTCTGTGTGAGAAGGAGAAACAAACGGGGCCTGTTTCACAGGCTTTGTGTGCGGAATGGAGCAGGTTCAGCGCCGCGGGGATGCATCGCTTGGTGTGTCGGCTTCCTAACGCCCCCGGAGCTGCTGCAGCGCCGCGTCAGTTCTCGCAGTCAGAACCGGAAACCGTTAGAGTTCTTATACAGAACGAGGAATAAGACGTTTTCTCAGTTGCCAGGATGATAACGTTAGGGCAGCAGATAGCCCGCTCCGCAGACGACTTGCGTCTTTAGAATGTTGCACCGTT